TTCCCCCCCACCCCCCACCCACTTACCTCTGCCCCCCCGCTCACACACACCTCCACTCACACACCTCTGCACCCCCCGCTCACACACACCCACCCACACCTCTGCACCTCCCAGCAGACCAACACACCTCCTTACCCCAGCAAGTCTCTGCATCCCACACCACATCTATGTATTCCCCTGCACATCTCTTGCTCCCCCTCTCCATACCCCTCCACACCCTCTGCACATCACTTTATCTTCAGAAAATGTCTGTACCCCCTGTATGCCTCCTCACCCCCAGAGTACATCCATGTACTCCCCCCAGCACATCTCTCCACCCCGAACACACCTCTGTACCCCCTTGCATATTCCATATCCCCCCACACACTTCTACCTCTGTACCTTCCAGCATCTTATGTTACCCTCCTCCCCCCATCTTTGCAACCTGTTTAATAACAAAATGGCCACATACCATTCCATTTCTCAGGCTACTGTGGCTTCTTAGGCGTGTTGATGATATTGATAGGCAGTTGTGCTGCCCTGAACCTCTCTCTTCACCTCCAGCAGCTTAGGCTATACAATAGAGTATGAACTCAGAGGGGCATCTGTGTCCTAAAGGCACCAGCTTCAGTATACTGGCTATGCTGCCGGAGGTGAAGAGAGGGGTTCGGGGCAGCACAGCTTCCTATCAATATCATCAACACTAGTGACTCTGTCTAATGCAGACTGTACTCCCACCACCACCAGAGAAGCCATGGGGCTGCCAGCTGAAGGTGCAGAGAGGGGGTCCGAGATCCATCAGATCATGTGCAAGCAGCACTACTGATCCCGGGACAAGAAATGCAAAAACAGGCATGTGGCATATACACAATTTGCAGGCAGTGTGGGATCAAGAGGCAGCTGCTTTGGGCCCCACAACTATGACTGGGCCCTGGGCAGCTGCCCCATTTGCCCCACATTAAAGACAGCCTTGGCTGTATCAATATTCATGCTGCCATCTGCATAGCTCCACACCTAGCACTGAGCAGACCTGACTAGCAAAATGCAGCTTCACTGAGTGCAGTGAGCAAACTATGCTGGTACCTAACAAACAATCACAGCCACACTGATTCCAGTGTGGTAACTAAATTTACCTATGAAAACACATACTACATCTATCTATCTAAACCCATCTATTTAGGAGGGTGCTACATAGAGCAGTGCATGTGACTGCCACTAACTTGCACTGCTCATTCCAAACAAACAGAAATGAGGGGGAAATGGAGAAGTTCAGGAAATCACAGAGTTATGCAGGACATACATGGGTTGAATTCTGAACTAATTTTCTTTAGAAAATCGGAAATTTTGTGCATTTTGTAATCCAATGGTGCCACCATTAATTTCGAAATTCAACCAACCGAGCCTTCAAGTTCTTCATGTAGCTAAAGAAAAGAATTTTCGTGGCCAAGAATTTTCTTTTATTTCCAGGTCACAGCTTTATATTTCTTGCAAGATTCTACCATCATTGATTCAAAATTCATTCGTTTTTCAAAACATTTCCAACATGCTCAATCACTCAAATTCGATGGTTGCACGAAAATCGCCCGTTTTTGTGACCCACTAATGGTGCGAAATTCAAACGAAAATTCTCAGAAAAGATTTTCGAAAGAAAATTATTTCGGAATTCGACCCATGTATGGCCGGCTTAAGGCCCCTTTCACAGAAGCGTTCTGTATGTCTGTTTTTCATCTGTCCATTTACAGATGAAAAACGGACACCCATTTATTTCTATGGACTAGTGGATGTAAACGGGTGATCATCTGTTTAAAGCCATTAATGTCCATATCCGATTACATCCATTTTTTTTAAAATGAACAATGGATGTAAACGGACAAGAAACTGATGTAAATGGACGAAAAACTGATGTAAACGGATGAAAAAGGGATGCAAATGGATAAACATGGATGTAAACGGACAAAAAGTGGATGAAAACGGATGTAAACTGATGAAAAACTGAACCGATCCATTTTTTCTTGAAAAAAATGTGACTGAACTGATGAAAAAACGGAACGCCGTGTGAAAAGGGCCTTAGAAGGAGGCAGAAAAACATGGTAAGAAATGACTTCATGAAAAACAGATTACAGGGCTATTAAAAGTGGCACAAAAGATAAAACTTTCTTTTTTTTCAGCTTTGAATAGATTGGAAAAGGATTACAACGCCTGACAGATTTTTATTGCTGTCTGTGCCTCTGTTAGCGAGATTCACCCTCTCTATTTGTCCTGTTTACTGTTATTATCGAAAGTGAATGGAAAAGAAAATCCCCACATTTTGGGTTGACATCAGAAGAGGAATAGAGAGCAACTCTTTAAATAAGGACACTAGTTCTAATGATCCTGGTGACACACCAGGATTCCCTCACTTTGAAGGGATTTGAACTCGCTTCCTGTTTTGCAACAGGAAGTGAAGGGAAATGTTCACAGTGGGACACAAGTGCCAAGAAAATAAAAAAAAAAAATCACAGGATTATAACCTTTCCTTACTCTCCAAAACCTTTCATTTAATCTCCAAACATGGAAAGGTTTCTTCACAGTGAGAGCTGTGAAAATGTGGAATAGACTCTCTCAAGAGTTGGTTCTGGCCAGCTCAGTGGATTGCTTTAAAAAAGGCCTGGATTCTTTCCGAGATACACAGAATATAACTGGATACTAACATTTTATAGGTAAAGTTGATCCAGGGAATATCCGATTGCGTCTCGGGGGATCAGGAAGGATTTTTTTTCCCCTGCAGGTGCAAATTGGATCATGCTTTGCTGGGTTTTTTGCCTTCCTCTGGATCAACTGTGGGTGTAGGATTATACTTTTTTTTTTTTTTGGTTGAACTGGATGGACTTTTGTCTATTTTCAGCCAGACTAACTATGTAACTTTATCCGAAAAGAAAATGTTTTGCCTTAATGCAGTCCATACATGGGTTGATTTCCGAAAGAATTATCTTTAGAATTTCTCCTCATGTTGCTACAGAAAAGAATTTTCATGGCCATGAATTTTCTTTTCTTTCCAGGTCACAGCTTTATATTTCTTGCACGATTCTCCCATCGATTCGAAATTTGTTTTTCAAAAAATTTCCAACATTCCCGATCACTCAAATTTGATGGTCACATGAACATTGGCCATTTCTGTGACCCACTAATGGTGCAAAATTCGAACGAAAATTCATATTAGAGGTTTTCGAAAGAAAATTCTTTTGGGATTCAACCCATGTATGGCCGTCTTTAGTGACCATTTAAATCGTAGGTGTGTGGATTATAATTGAAGAACGATATGGTTATGCAGGCCATAGATGGGTCGAAAATCAGCCGATTTTTCGGCCGAAAAAAAAACGTCCAATTAACAGTGCGTTCATGGGTTAATTGGTCGGCCATTTTTCTGGATTTTGTCAGATTTTTTTGATCGTTAAAGTTGGAAAAAAATCAGCCGATTTTCGCGGCAATGATGGGCAAATCGGCTGATCTTTTTACCGATAAAAAATCTGCGCATGGGCCATGACCTGCAAGAAAAAGAAGAAGAAAAAGAAAAAAAAGAAGAGGAAGATAAAAAGAGAAAAAAAAGAAGTAGAGAAAGAAGTAGAAGAGAAAGAAGAAGAGAAAGAAGAAGAAGAGGAGAAGGAAGAGAAAGAAGAAGAAGAGAAAGAGAGAAGTAGAAGAAGTAGAAGAAGAGAAAGAAGAAGAGAAAGAAAAAGAGGAAGAAGAAGAGAAAGAAAAAGAGGAAGAAGAAGAGAAAAAGAAGAAGAGAAAGAAGAAGAGAAAGAAGAAGAGAAAGAAAAAGAGGAAGAAGAAGAGAAAGAAAAAGAGGAAGAAGAAGAGAAAAGAAAAAGAGGAAGAAGAAGAGAAAGAAAAAGAGGAAGAAGAAGAGAAAGAAAAAGAGGAAGAAGAAGAGAAAGAAAAAGAGGAAGAAGAGAAAGAAGAGAAAGAAGAGGAAGAGAAAGAAAAAGAGGAAGAGGAAGAGAAAGAAAAAGAGGAAGAAGAAGAAGAGAAAGAAAAAGAGGAAGAAGAAGAGAAAGAAAAAGAGGAAGAAGAGAAAGAAGAGGAAGAGAAAGAAAAAGAGGAAGAAGAAGAGAAAGAAAAAGAGGAAGAAGAGAAAGAAGAGGAAGAGAAAGAAAAAGAGGAAGAAGAAGAGAAAGAAAAGAGGAAGAAGAAGAGAAAGAAAAAGAGGAAGAAGAGAAAGAAGAGGAAGAGAAAAGAAAAAGAGGAAGAAGAAGAGGAAGCAGAAGAGGAAGAAATAAGAGGAAGAAGAAGAAGAGGAGGAAGAAGAGGAGGAAGAAGAGGAGGAAGAAGAGGAGGAAGAAGAAGAGGAGAAAGAAGAAGAGGAAGAAGAAGAGGAGAAAGAAGAAGAGGAAGAAGAGAAAGAAGAAGAATTCCAGTCCGCTATTATATTTGACATTAAAAAGTATTTCGGTTGCAACAATGTATCTATTTGTATCCAAAAAACCCCATCTGTATCCGAAATGGATACAAATAGATACAATGCTGCAACCGCAATACTTTTTAAAGTCAAATATAATAGCGGGACTCTCTGCAGGGACAGAAGTAATTAAATGCCGGCTGTAGACGGCAAGAAAATCGGCCGATTTTTTTTTTCACTGTTGGTGGTAACGTCGGCCTATTGAACGACCGATTTTTCGTTTTTTTGTTAAAAAACCGGCCGGTTTTCTCCCCGTCTATGGCCTGCATTAGTGTGAATATTCCTCCAGACATTTTGGCTTTTACGGTGTCATCTCACATTCGGCCACTAGATGGCCTCATTACTCCGCAACGCTAGGTTGAAATAATAAAAATCAACGTTGTAACTTCAGCAATACTTCGCGTAACAGATACGAGGACTCCAATTGGGGAGATTCAGATACGGATCCTGTCACCGTGAGTACAGTATAACGTACACGTAAAAAATTCTCAATTGGGAGCCATAACCACTTTGGAACGCATTACTACCGAGTATGAACGCGCAAGGGCGGAAGTAGGCGTTGCTCCGTGACGTAATAGCAGTGCGACAGCTGAGCAGACATCTTGGAGAACGAATTGGCAACGGTGAGTAACGTCTAGGAACAGCTGTAGTTTGGTGTAGTTGTGGATAATGGTCCGCATGCTGTGTTTGCCTTTGTTTCCTATACAAGTGTGTTCATATCTCTCACAGTAATGTCTGGCTGGCAGTGCTGTAGCTGGTCGGGGTTTACAAGGGTGGCAATAGAAAGACTCAGAGAGCTGCGTTAGGAAGTAGACAATGTGTATTGGGGTGTGAGGGGCCATTGTGTGCAAGAGAACAATAGTTGTCTGAAGTAATCCTCCAGAGGCAGCCATTGTCTGGGTCACCATTGTAGAAAACAAGATTCTCTAGTTCAGCTCCATGGCCAGCCATGATTTTCCTAAACTGAGAGCTGGATCAGATGTTCTTCCAATCATGGCATCAGTATTCAGGGTTAAAGCAGAGTTCCACTTTAAGGAGTGTTCCCCCGCTCCCCTTTAGGATTGAAACCTTTGGGGAGCGGGTACCCGAAATTGACAGGTACCCGCTCCCACTTTTGCTGTGATCAGCTAAGGCAGGGGTGTCAAACTGGTGGCCCTCCAGCTGTTGTGAAACTACAAGTCCCATCATGTCTCTACCTTTTGAGAGTCATGCTTGTTACATGTCTGATGAGATTTGTAGTTTGGCAACATCTGGAGGACTGGTAGTTTGACACCTGTGGTCTAAGGCAATTGGAAGCGGAAGTTGCACCAATAGCAAGTATTTGCACGAGTATCGGTACTCCTGTAAATGCACCGATACCAGAAGTGGCATCAGTTTGGGGGCAGATAGAGCTACGTTCCTCAATGTCTGTTGCTGTACTTCTGTGTTACACTTGGTTTTAACCACTTTCCCTCCGCCCTATCGCAGACGTATTGCTACAGGGCATCAGGGCTGTGCAAAATCACGTGTATATATACACGTGATTTGCAATTCCGTGTAGGGCAGCTAGAGATGTCAATCACTGGGTCCCAGCCGGCACTCAGCGATCGTCGGGGAAAGTTGACGGGAGAGACCTGTGTGTAAACCATACAGGTCTCCTGTCAGCATGGACATGCACAGCAGAGATATACAAAACTGCATGTCTCCCTAGTAAAATACAGCACACCCTTTGATTGCTCCAGATGTTAACCCCTTTCTGCCCAGTGTCATTAGTACAGTGTCAAGTGATTTTTTTTATGTTAGCACTGATCACTGTATTAGTGTCACTGGGGATGTCAGTAGCAGTTAGTCAGTTCCCACCCAGTGTCGGAAGGCCCGCTGCAGTCCTGCTATAAGTCGCTGTTTGCCACCATTACTAGTATAAAAAGAAAAAAAAAAAAAAATTACAGTATGTATACCATCATTTGTAGATGCTATAACTTTCATATAAACAAATTTAGTTTGCACATATTGGGATTTTTTTTTTTTTTTTTTTGCAAAGACCTGTAGCAGAATACATTTCGGCTTAAATTTATGAAGAAATTAGATTTTTTAAAAAACATTTTTGTTGGATATGTTTTATAGCAAAAAGTCAAAAATACTGTTTTCTTTTTTCCAAATTGTCGGTCTTTTTTTGTTTATAGAGCAAAAAAAAAAAAAACACAGGGGTGATAAATACCAGCAAAAGAAAACTCTATTTCTGGGGGGAAAATGGGAAAAAAATGACAGTTCATTTATGTACAGCATTGCATGACCACACAATTGTCAGGTAAAGTAACGCAGCACCGTATCGCAGAAAATGGTCTGGTCAGGAAGGGGGTAAATTCTCTGGAGGGCAAGTGGTTAAACTTGTGATGTTTATAAAAAATATTTAATAATTTAAACATGTTCTGTGAAATTTCAGCTTTCACAACTTTGACAAGAAAATAGAAATGTTTTATTTGTTTCATACAGTCAGTTACAAGTCTTAATTATAAAGAGAGGGTATAATTTTGAGCCCCCCAATTATTATATATCTCTTGTAGGCAGAGACCTTGGAGAATAAAATGGTGGGTGTTGCAGTTTTTGTTTGTCACATGATATTTGCGCAGTGGTTTTTGAAACCACTGTAATGAATATTCGTGAACACAATATAATACTTAATTTTTCAGAAAAATATAAAAGATTGTTACGCCGAGTAAATAGATCCCGAACATGTCTCGCTTTAAAATTGCATGCACCTGTGTTACAGCAACAAACTACATATGTTTTATTATCCATAGGCGGTGATTTAAAAACCTATACAGATTACCAGTTTGGAGATACACAAGAGGTCTGGTGCTAGATACATTGCTCTTGCACTGACATCCTAGGAGATACATCACATACAGTCAGGTCCATAAATATTGGGACATCGACACAATTCTAAAATTTTTGGCTCTATACACCACCACAATGGATTTGAAATTAAACGAACAAGATGTGCTTTAACTGCAGACTGTCAGCTTTAATTTGAGGGTATTTACATCCAAATCAGGTGAACGGTGTAGGAATTACAACAGTTTGCATATGTGCCTTCCACTTGTTAAGGGACCAAAAGTAATGGGACAATTGGCTTCTCAGCTGTTCCATGGCCAGGTGTGTGTTATTCCCTCATTATCCCAATTACAAAGAGCAGATAAAAGGTCCAGAGTTAATTTCAAGTGTGCTATTTGCATTTGGAATCTATTGCTGTCAACTCTCAAGATGAGATCCAAAGAGCTGTCACTATCAGTAAAGCAAGCCATCATTAGGCTGAAAAAACAAAACAAACCCATCAGAGAGATAGCAAAAACATTAGGCGTGGCCAAAACAAATGTTTGGAACATTCTTAAAAAGAAGGAACGCATCGGTGAGCTCAGCAACACCAAAAGACCCGGAAGACCACGGAAAACAACTGTGGTGGATGACCGAAGAATTCTTTCCCTGGTGAAGAAAACACCCTTCACAACAGTTGGCCAGATCAAGAACACTCTCCAGGAGGTAGGTGTATGTGTGTCAAAGTCAACAATCAAGAGAAGACTTCACCAGAGTGAATACAGAGGGTTCACCACAAGATGTAAACCATTGGTGAGCCTCAAAAACAGGAAGGCCAGATTAGAGTTTGCCAAACGACATCTAAAAAAGCCTTCACAGTTCTGGAACAACATCCTATGGACAGATGAGACCAAGATCAACTTGTACCAGAGTGATGGGAAGAGAAGAGTATGGAGAAGGAAAGGAACTGCTCATGATCCTAAGCATACCACCTCATCAGTGAAGCATGGTGGTGGTAGTGTCATGGCGTGGGTGTGTATGGCTGCCAATGGAACTGGTTCTCTTGTATTTATTGATGATGTGACTGCTGACAAAAGCAGCAGGATGAATTCTGAAGTGTTTCGGGCAATATTATCTGCTCATATTCAGCCAAATGCTTCACAACTCATTGGACGCCGCTTCACAGTGCAGATGGACAATGACCAAAGCATACTGCAAAAGCAACCAAAGAGTTTTTTAAGGGAAAGAAGTGGAATGTTATGCAATTGCCAAGTCAATCACCTGACCTGAATCAGATTGAGCATGCATTTCACTTGCTGAAGACAAAACTGAAGGGAAAATGCCCCAAGAACAAGCAGGAACTGAAGACAGTTGCAGTAGAGGCCTGGCAGAGCATCACCAGGGATGAAACCCAGCGTCTGGTGATGTCTGTGTTCCAGACTTCAGGCTGTAAATGACTGCAAAGAATTTGCAACCAAGTATTAAAAAGTGAAAGTTTGATTTATGATTATTATTCTGTCCCATTACTTTTGGTCCCTTAACAAGTGGGAGGCACATATGCAAACTGTTGTAATTCCTACACCGTTCACCTGATTTGGATGTAAATACCCTCAAATTAAAGCTGACAGTCTGCAGTTAAAGCACATCTTGTTCATTTCATTTCAAATCCATTGTGGTGGTGTATAGAGCCAAAAATGTTAGAATTGTGTCGATGTCCCAATATTTATGGACCTGACTGTATGTGGTGTGATCGCCATTTATGTATGTATGCATGCAGGCCCAATGTGTGCGTACCTTTGTGTGTAAGCATAGGAACTTTAAAAATTTTATTTCTTTTATTAAGTTTGTTATAACAAGGGATGAACAACATCCCTTGTGATAGCGTGGGCCATACCAGGTCCTCCTTATGGATTGATCTGGGGCCATTGAGACCCCATATCTCCTCTGGCCTCCAAAGCAGCCGATCAAACTGAGATCTGTTTGGCTGCTGTACAAGGCAGTAACAAACCACAACCAGAAGTGAGGAATACCTCCTTGCTTCCAGTTTCTGATGTCACAAAGTGGGAGGAACAACGTCAGTCCATCTCCTGTAAAAGTGATCCAGCGGCTGTATAGGCACTCAGAACACTTTTCATAAAAGAATCTCTGGCAGAATAAAAACAGTACCTGAATCATGGTTGTTGTCCCAGTATAACCACTACAAAAACCACCAAAGAAAAAAAGATACAGCACCTCAATGGCTAATGAACAGGATATGTTTATGGAGGGAGGATGTGATCCCTTCCGCCTACATGTTTCGCCCCTCCCACTAACTGGGGCTTCTTCAGGGCGTAGCAAAGGACTGGATGGCTGGCATGCCTATATATCTACATTGCTTTAAGAGGTGGAATATAGTGCAATGATGCAGATATATAGGCATTCCAGCCATCCAGTCCTTAGCTCCGCACTGGAGAAGCCCCAGTTAATGGGAGGGGGGAAATGTAGGCAGAAGGGATCGCGTCCTCCCTCAATGTGCTATCCCCTGCTGAGTAGCTGGAGTGCACGCTGGCTCTCATGACCTGCTGTATGCATACTACATATCGTGCTGCAGGCTGTCCTGTCTCAACCCAACATATCGCTACCTGAGACTGCATGATACTTCACCAGCACAGGTGTCTTGAGATCCACTTGGTGAGACTGTTCCTATTATCTGTTGCATTGAGTGATGGACTTCTCTTACGGCCTATGGATTTCAAAGTCAATCAGCTACCAGGGTAGCTGACTATATGTCCTTTTTGAATCTCTGATAATACTCATGTGAACACAGGAAGAGTTGAGCGCACTACAGACT